GTTGATGCTGACTCGATGGCACCTAACAACAATATTCTGTTCAAATGGCTACATACAGGTTCCTTAGTCTTAGTCTGCATAGAGGTTCCTCTTGAAGACAATAAAGTATTTTGGAATACCTATTCTTCACAATGTTATCCAGCATCTGTCATGATCCACACAGTCAAAAGCCTTATTAGCACAGTCAATAAAGCCCAAGTAAACATCATTCTAGTATAATCTGCTTTCAGCCAAGATCCATTTGAAATTAACAATATCCCAAGTTCCACATTCTCTTCTGAATGCAGCTTAAATTTCAGGCAGTTCTTTATCCAAATACAGTTGAAGTCATTTCTCAAATTATCTTCAGCAAAATTTTACTTGAATGTAATATTTATGATACTTTTTGATCATTTCCACATTTCATTGGATCACTTCTCTTTGGAATGAGCACAAATATAGTTCTTTTCTCATTAGTTAGCCAGATAGCTCTCTTCCAAATTTCTTGGCAAAGATGAATGAATACCTCCAGTTCTCCATCACTTTGTATTCTGTCAATTTCAGGAGTCTTGCTTTTCACCAAGGTCTTCACTGCAGCTCAGACTTCTTCCTTTAGTACCATGCTACCTATTACCCATTTATTTTCGGTACAGTGACTGTGTATACCTTCCACTTCTACGGATGCTTTCTGTATCATTCAACGTTTTGCCAAAGAATCCTTCAACATTTCAAACTGAGACTTCAATTTTTTTCTTCAGTTCTTTCAGCAGGAGAAAAACTGAGCACATTATCCCTTTTGGTTTTCTAACTACAGATCTTTGCACATTTTAGTTTGTGAATTCAAACCGCAGACCTTTTGGTTACCAGTCCAACATTTAAACCATTGTACCACTAGGGCTCGTCACCAGCCAGTACAAACATGCAAATCAAAACAAGAGTGAAGATGTCATATCACCCCATCATTAATACCAAAATTCAAAGGAACAGGAAACAACAAATGCTAGCAAGGGTGGGAACAGTGGAATTCACATACATTGTTGATGGGATTTAAAATTGGGCAATCACTGTGGAAAATGAAATGGAGCTTTCTTAAAAAGTTGGAAATGCAAAGAGGCTTCAAAAAGTTGATGGAAATTTTCCATTATCTTTAATTTCCACTTTTCTGCAAACTCTTTGAAGCTCACACACACACACACACACATATATATATATATATATAGAGAGAGAGAGAGAGAGAGAGAGAGAATATGATCCAGCAATCCCACTACTAAGTATATCTTCTACAGAATTAAGAGCTGTGACACAAACAAATATACCCACACTGTGTTCATCACAGAATTATTCACAATAGCTAAAAGACGGAATCAACCTAAATGACCATCAATAATGAATGCATAAACTATGGGTATATAAATATAATGGAATACTATGCAACATTAAAGAATAATGATAAATCTTTCATATGCGTCATAACATGGATGAAGCTAGTGGACAATATTCTGAGTAAAATTAGTCAATCACAAAAGGAAAATTATTGTGAGAAACCACTATTATAAAACATCAAGGTAAGACTTAAACACAGGGAGAAAGATTCTTTGGTCATAGGGGAGAGAGGGTTTGTTGTTAAGTGCGTCAGTTCCAATACGTATGGTCCCTGGATAGGGTTTTTAAAAAGTGACTAGTGGGCTTGAACCACTGATCTTGTGGTTATTAGAGGGAAGAGAGAGCAAATCACCAACTAGAGGACAGACAAGTATTAACTTAGGTGAAGGGGAAAGCAATCAGTGGGAGGTCATCACAAAATGATCAAAGCAAAGGGGGACACTGGGAGAAGCACAAACTTAACAAAAACAAAGGTAAATACTATTACATACCCAATTCTGCAATAACACAATAATAATAGTTATCATCTATGAGAGGATAAAAAGACATTCAAGTTCAACAGGGCTGGGAAGGTGAATGGGACTACACACATGCACAGGAGAAGGATCTAAAAGTTGAGTGAAGGGGACAGCAATATACCAAAAACAAAAACACAAAAAATCAGCAAAAATGGAGTAAGGAAAGACACTGGAAAGAATATAAGAATGAAAGGCAACAGCGGTCAATACTACTGTGCATGCAATCCTGACGTAACGGTGATCTGTGAGTAGATACATGGACAGACAAGCTGACTGAGCTGCTGTGCAAGGGAGAAAGAAGAATACCCACCAACAGCACTCAGTCTGTCTGATCTATATTTATGGGTATGTAGTCCTGGTGTGATGCCATAGGAAAGGACCTGACCTCAAGCTTGGTTTGAACTGCAACGTTGGTGATTCAAACTTACCAGTCACTCCTCAGAAACCCTATACAAAGTTGATATGAGTTAGAATTAACTCTATGGCATATAATAACCACAACAACATCTTTGTATAGGTATATTTATCTTTGCTGCAAACATAACCATGAATTAGCATTCAGAGTAAAGTTATGAAAACTTCTCAGATATAGCTAAACATCTTGAGGGAATTAGTCACTGGACCTGAGGACTCTGGACCATAGTTTTGGGGGACAGCAAGGTCAACTGCAATAACATAATCCATAAAGATGATATTCCACATCCTACTCTGGTAAGTAACAACTGGAGTCTCCAAAGCTCATGAGTAGCCATCTATGGCACAACTATTGATTTCTCTTTGTCCTGATGAAATAACTGTGAGAAAAATTAGAAGACTTTTAGAAACAATCAAGCCCTTGTGTGGATAAGCACTGGACTGCTAACCGCCAGATCAGCAGTTCAGAACCCCCAGCCACTCTCAGAAACCCTGTACAGGGTTACTATGAGTCAGAACTAACTTGAAGATACACAACAACAACAACATGGAAACAATTTGTTCCTAAAACTAATGTACCATGTGAATATAGTCTCCATGACCATGAGACCAGAAGAAATAGACGGTGCCCAGCCAAACCCTACTAACTGCTCTGAAAAGATCACATTAGTAGGTCCTGAATAGAGTAAAGGGGAAATGTGAAATAAATCTCAAAATTATAAAAAAAAAAAAAAGACCATGCGTAATGGTCAGACAGAAGCTTGTGGAAACCCAGAGGCTATGGCCCTTGGTCACCCTGCAGGTCTGGACATGAAGTCATCACCATGACTCAATTTTCACACACACAAAAGGCAGGTCTACAAGGGAAAAAAGAACACTAGGAGGTATACACATCTCAGAATAATTAACCATTTGAGATCAAAATGGCAGCCTTTACTCAGGAACAAATTTCAGAAAACATTTGGATGGCAGACAAAATAGAAACATGAAAGACAGAAAGTGGGATACAGACGGAATGTTTCATTGTAGAAATGACAATCAGTGAGATGAAATAAACTGCGTATAATGTTCATTGTAAAACTGTATACCTACGCCTAATTTCCAATAAAAAGTCTTTTCAAAAAAGTTCAATACAATGTGGAATTACAAGATAATGGAATATTTCCATTATTCTTTTTTTTGAAGCCCCTCATATATGTTGTTGTAAAGTGCTGTTGATTCACAGTGACCCTGTGTAGGGTTTCCAAGGAGGGGCTGGGGGAACAACCAACCTTTTGGTTAGCAGTCCAGTGCTAATCCTACAATGCCATTAAAGGAACACTGTTAACAAAGCTAGAGGTATGGTGATGGTGGTAGTGGTAGTGTACCATCAAGTTGGTTCTGACCCATAGCAACCCTGTATAGGGTTTCTGAGGCTGTAAATCTTTACAGCAACAGAGAGTCTTATCTTTTCCCAATGGAGTGGCTGGTGGATTCGAACTGCTGCCCTTGTGGTTAATAACCCACTATACCACCAGGGATCCTTAAGACCTTCCTTGCTGTTGTTGTTGTTAAGTGCCGTGAAGTCAGTTCTGACCCATAGCAACCCTGTGTGGAGTTTTCGAGGAGCATCGGGTGAGTTTGAATTGCCAACCTTGCAGTTAACCAACTTTGCAATCCAGTACATTAACCCACAGCACCACATCAGGATTCCTTAGCTAGATATCATTCAAAGAACCACCTAGTTAAACCATACTGATGTATCACATGGAAGAAACAACTGCTAATTACTATAGGAGGGTGGAGGGGGGGAACAGTTATTTTACACGCAAGGAAATCTAGCAAATATTTATAATAGTTCATATGAGCATCCCTTGCTGACTGTCCATCATATAGGAGGAAATGAGGCAAAAGGGGCACTATCTCAAAAGGAACATTTTAGAACACAGAAAGTAAAGATATATGAGATATGGAATTCTCTATGAAGTACTTATTATCAGGGAGAGTTATTTAAATTAAAAATCATTATAAGACTTTGAATTTCAGCTCAATTCAAAAAGCACTGACTGAGAATCGATGGTTTTTCAGGATATATACAAGTCAATTGTACACAAAAATAAAATACTAATGTTCTCCAGTTTAAATTTTTTTTTTCAGGTTTAGCCACCAATTATCAAGCAAAAAAGATACTAATGAAACTTTAATTTAACATGTGAAATTAAAACATGAATTCATAAAAGCAAATCCCTCAATACTTACTATTTTGAATCAGCAGCATTCCAAGTAAAAAGATAGAGAAACTTCTTTTTACACAATGCCAAACATACAGGAATATGGAAACATCACTTATATGTATTCACTTTTTATCTAGAACTGTGAAATACAGTAGACACTACTTACATGCAGGGTTTTAATTGAAATTAATTAAAGTTCAATAAAATCCTTTATTTATTTCTTAGTCACACTAGCCACATTTCAAATGTTCAGTAGTCACATGTTATATTGCAGAGAAAATATCTATTATTGCAAGAAGTTTTATTGGTCTCATAACTTTAACTTATCTTCCTATTAAACAGAGTAGGAGGAGACACTGTATTTTAAAACTAACGGATACTGGTGTTTTTTTCTTTAATAGTGTATTTCACTCTATTGAATACACTCTATTCTGTTGTAAAGTTAATAGCTTACTTTCTTTTTTTCTTTCTGGTTGTAAAACAAATGTCTTACTTTCTTCTGTTGGCAAGTGTCTCTTCGCCATTTCTTACTGAGATCTTCATTCCATGCTTCTCTTTGCTCCAATCAAAAGAACAACGGGGGCTTTGTGTTGGTGTTCTGACTGGATGGCCACAAATCTTATTTACCTTTTAAATTAAAAACATTAAAAGACAATTAGAAATCATGTTCTACTTTGTCTGAGAATGTAATGATGTTCAAGGCAAAAAAAAAAAAAAAGAGACAATATTAGTCTTTAAACATACAAAATGCTTATCAATTTTTAATTGGAGATCAAATTATAAAAATGACAAACATGATATGATCATGCCACCCATATTTCTGTATTTTGTATGTAATGTTTGTTGTTGTTAAGTACCATCAATTCCATTCCAACTTATAGCAACCCTGTATCGGGTTTCCAAGGTTGTACATCTTTGCTAAAGTAGAAAGTCTCATCTTTCTCCCTCAGAGTGACTGGTAGGCTCAAATCACTGATCTGGTATTCTGCAGTCCAGTGCTTATTGTACAGAGCCACCACGCCACCTATGATGCATATATCAATGCAAAATATATACACAAAAAATACATATACACAAAAGAAATCACAGGAATGTATTAAATTGCCTGATTCTATATAACCAAAAATTGATATTATGTGTGGTTCATCTTTAAACATATACTTAGACTCATTTAGAAATGGACTCATTTGTCAATGAATATGTGGTCCTGTCTTAAAGAGTCCTAGAGGCAAAAGTAAATACTTTTGAAATTCTGTTTCTTATAAATGATGATGAATATGTTTACTGTACAGTTCTCATTATGTAATGCCTATTCTGTTTCATTTGCTATTATAAAATCCTTATTTTCAAAACAATTTACTCAAGGGTAAAATTCATCAACTTTTAAAAAATTACTTATCTAAAAAAAGCTTAGTATAAGTTAGATGATTATAATTGAAAAACTAAGTGTCCAGTTGAATGCATACCACTTAAATCATTTTTAAAAAGTATAATGCTTTATACCCTTAAAAAAACAGAGTAATAAAATTGAAAATATATCCAAGTATTGCTTGGGGCTCAGAATATTTTGGTTCTTGTATTAGTTTTTGCTTCTTTAGCTCTGAGACCTTGAAAACAGTCACAGAACGTCTTTGAACTTGATTTCCTTACATTTAAGATGAAGTGGTTAAAATAAATTATTCCACAGTTTTGTTGAAGTCTAAATTTCTCTGATTTTCTATGCAGTGAGTAACAGAGGCACGTAGCCACAATTAATTTATTTTTTGCCACATTTTTTGCTTCTTATATTTGTAAAGTGCACATATCTGATGCTATAAGAAATAAAAAATGAGAAAATGAATTTTCCCCTACAAGAGATTGCAATTTAGAAGAAAAGGAAAATTTCTCACAAACATTAAAATACTAGTTGTGTGTGCCAAACTTTTTTTCAAAACCGAGTCGAGCCCAGCTGCCTGAGCATCTCCACCATCATGAATGGCACAGTAACTATCCAGACCAAGAAGTTCATGACCAACCAACACTTCATCAGAAATCATTGGTCATTGATGGCCTTTACTTTGGGAAGGCAACAGTACCTCAGATAGGAATGAGGGGAAAACTTATCAAAATGTATAAGATGACATCAGATATCATCTTTGTGTTTGCATTCAGAGACTATTTTGGTGTTGGCAAGATTATTTGACATGATTTACAATTCCTTGGACTGTGTAAAGAAAAATGAAACCAAACACAGACCTGCAAGTCATGGCCTATATGAGAAGGAAAAACACATTGAGAAAACATCACAAGGAACACAAAACAGAATGAAGAGAGTCAGGGGGATTGCAAAGGCCAGTGTTGGTGCTGGAAAAAGAAGGAATAAAGATTCTGCTGTGACTCGATCTGCGATGATAGTGTGAATTTTTCACCAGAGGAATCATAAACCATAAAATCTTATAAAAAAGAGATTTAAAAAAAGCAGACTGACTAGGTATCATGGATATCTAATGCCAGATGAGATTATTAACATTTTAGGGTCAATGGGTAATAGACATCGGGAAAGAATGTCCAGAGACAGTGGACCTGAATGCATCAAGACTGATTTCAATTCAACTACACTGTAAATGAAATACGTGTTGCCCATCTATTGGTGAGATACTAGATACACAAATGTGAAAAGGGTGTCGGCCCTGTGCACCTAGTTGAGATGAGAACCACGTAAAAGAACAATCACAATATGGGCATGATAAGAACAACCATACACATAGACAGAATTAAGTAACCTTTCAATAATACCCAAGAAAATAGACAGGCTAACTCTATTTGGGGAGCTCAGGCAGGGAATAGCTTTAGAAGATACATTATGAGCCGTATTTTAAAGGGATTTGTCAGGTGGTCAGGAAAAAAAGTACAAATACTGCAGGAAAGAGCAGAAAAACAAGGAGGCAAATGACAGCTTATATGTTCATATTGAACAAGATATAGTATAGGAGAGAGACACAGCAAGAGACAAGGCAGGTACAGCACACATAAAAATGCCATTACATGACTTGGATACCAAGGTAAAGAACTTGTTATAGCAAATGAAAAGGATTCAAAAGATTCCAAACAGGGAAATGATAACATAAGATTTCCACTAGAGAGAAATCATCATGGCAACAATGTGGAAGAAGGAAGGAACAATGCAGACCAGTGGAGACATGTTAGAGCCCAAAGTCACAACCAGAAGTGATGAAAAGGAAGTAGTTGGTAGAAGAGATGCACAAAAGGGAAAGAGAGTAGCACTTGGAGACCCATTAGATATGTAAAATTGACATAACAGAAAATTATAAGGAAAGAAGAAAAATTCTGAAAGAAGTTAGGTGTAATAAAGCATGGGATTTATATGAAAAATAGACAAAAATGTGGTTTGCCTAGGAAGAAGGGTCATGAAGAGTGGTAATAAAAGAAAATTGTGTTTGAAGGATAGGTTGCAGAAATATCTGGGATAGTTTTAGTTTTAGATGCTAAGCTAAGAAGTTGTATTTATTACACAAAGCTTTCTGATGCTGTTGAATGAAAAAGTAAAATATCAGAGCTGGTATATATAAAGTGAATCTAGCAGCACTATATAAGTTGGACTACAAAAAGGAAACAATTAAAGGCGGGTAAATGGAGCCCTGTTGTGGCACTGCGGATTAATGTGCTGGACTGCAAAGTCTATTTGCATTGCAAGGTCAGCAATTCAAGCTCACCAGTAACTCCTTGGAAACCCTATACAGAGTCACTATGAGTCAGAACCTATTCAATGGCATTTAACAACAACAACAAACTGTCCATAGGCTGTTGAAGTCATCCTAAGAAAAGAAATTTTGGGTCTAACCTACAGTAGCGATGTTGTTGTTGATAAGTACCATTGGATAAGTTTCAATACATAACAACCATGTATAGGGTTTCAGAGGCTTTAAGTCTTTACGGGAGAGGAAAGCCTCAACTTTTTCCTGCAGAACATCTGGTGAGTTTAAACCATTGACCTTGAGATTAGCAGTAGTCCAGTGATGGTGGAGGAGTTGGTTGGTTGTGTGCTGTTGAGCTGGTTCTGATTCATAACTATCCTGTATAGGGTTTCCAAGACTGTATATCTTAATGGGATCAGAAAGCCTCATCTTTCTCCCATAGTGGCAGGTGTATTTGAACTGAGCTTACGGTTAGCAGTCCAATGCATAACCCTCTATACTACCAGAGCTCCTTATTCCAGTGATTGTTGTTGTTGGCCATAAAAAAGAAAGGTTCAAATATTACAGTAGAGAAGAATTTAAATCAACAGAACTTTGCAAATATTTGAAAGCAAGAAGCCAGGGAAGCATAAGGTCAAGGTGTCAAAGACTCAAGGGAATTTTCAATCCCTGAATCTGAAAAGGAGCCCTGGTGATTCAATAGTTAAAGCACTTACCTGCTAAGCAAAAAGCCAGCATTTCAACTCCACGAGCTGCTCCATGAGCGAAAGCTGCTGAAGCCTGCTTTTTTAGGGGTTTATTGGCTTGGAAACCCTATAGTTTAGGTTTTAGTCTAGTATAAGACATAGTTCTTCTACTCAATGACCCCTATAGGGTCATTATGATTCAGAGTCAAGTTGACAGAAATGGGTTTGAGTTTTAGGAGTCTGAAAATAGGGATAGTGAAGTAGAAGAACATTAGCAGAGTGCTATAGGAGTCCTGGTGTGGTGCTGTGGGCTAATGCATCGGACTGCAAAGTCATTTGAACTACCTGGTTGGCAGTTCAAGCTCACCAGATGCTTCTTGGAAATCCTATACAGGGTCACTATGGGTCGGGATTGACTAGATGGCCCTAACAACAACAACAAAATATTCAAAGAAAGGAAGAAAGAATTTTCACTGTTAACAGCTTTTAGTAATAAGAACTAAGAAAAGTATAAGTTGATGGCAGAAACATCAAGAGTATGATGGTTTAGTGGTGTTGTTATTATTAAGTGCCATTGTGTTGGTTCCAACTCATAGCAATCCTGTATAGGGTTTCTAGCTAGTGGGTTTGAGCAGCTGACCTTGCAGTTTAGCAGTCCCGTGATATCCTATGGTGCCACAATGGTTTAGAGTTACTATGGGCTAGTTTGAAGTATAAAATCAATATGATCTAATATGACAATCATACGATTTCAGATAAGGTTAAGCAACCTCCATGAATCTGCTTACTTTCTCATCCTGAAGCACGCGGGAATTAAACCACTTTACAGTTAAGTTGTTATTGTTAAGTGCCTTCGAGTTGGTTCTGACTCATAGCAACCCTGTATAGGGTTTCTGAGGAGTGGCTGGTAAATTTGAACCACCAACCCTGTGGTCCAAACCAACCTTGTGGCCCTGTGCATTATCCCACAGCAGAGATAAGGGAAATCTTATTTCAAACTATATTTCCCATCTTGAACATAAGAACTTAATGTTCTATTAAATAAGTTTCCTAAGAAATCAGATGAGGACCAGAAACAATACCAGGCTTATAAGATCTCTATATAAACTATAGTCTTAGTAATGTTTTTGCAAATACAAAAAAATTGCATAGCCCTGGACTCATAAGGTATCTTTGTTGTGTCCCATGAGACAAGTCATAGCAGATTCCAGTAAACACATACAAGTAAAGCTCAAAACCCTCGTAT